CACAAAAACATACACGCACACGCAACGAACACATACAAATTTCCACAAAGGGTCACGTACACAAGCCAAATACAGGGAAGTCACGCGAATAGTCACGTATGGGACGCCCCACGACGGGGTCTCTCTCACCTGCCACAAGTTACCCCGACGAGACAACACTTTCACCCCCCAAACCTTCATCTCTGCCTGTGAGAATAATACAATGATGAGCACAATCACTGTTGTTAATGATAAATATTATTAGTAATAACAATAATCACTAGATATGAAATTAACGTTACTAATAATAAAAATAATATTAATAAGAAAAAACAATAATAATAAAATAATAAAAAATAATAATAATAATAATAATAATAATAATAATAATGATGATGATGATGATGATGATGATGATGATGATGATGATGATGATGATGATGATGATGATGATGATAATGATAATAATAATAATACAGTTTAGATTAACTGGATCACCTGAAAATTCATCCTCCAAGACAAAGGGTAAATATTGCTACGGAAGACCTTAGATAGATTAGGTAAATTACATAATATTTTATATTTATATTACCTAAATTTGACCAAGGCTGAACAGATATGACACAACAATTTTGGTGCACAGAAAAAAATAAAAGCATATAAAGAATTGTGATATTATTGACTATCTTGACGTGAAGGAATAATATTATTAACTGACTTGCGAGTATTAACTGATGGAGAGAGAGAGAGAGAGAGAGAGAGAGAGAGAGAGAGAGAGAGAGAGAAGAGAGAGAGAGAGAAAAGAGAGAGAGAGAGAGAGAGAGAGAGAGAGAGAGAGAGACAATGCTGGACTAACCTGAGACAGTCGGTAAAACCCTCGACAGCGTACTTGGAGAGGACATAGGGCGCTCTCATAGTGTTGCCCATCCTGCCGTACATACTGGCGATGTTTACCACACGACCTGCAACCCGCAACACACTCAACATTGCTACGTAGCTGTGACCAGACACTTGATTTAAAGTAAAGTTGCCTGACCAGATACTAGGACATATTTAGTTAAAAAATAAAACGTTTCGATCCTGGTATTTGATCACAAAAAAACGCTTCGGTCCTGGGATCTTGATCACAAAAGGAAACTTTTCGGTCCTGGGATCTTCAACACAAAAAAAAAAAAAAACGTTTCGATTTTGTGATACTGATCACCTGTAGGTCAAAGAACCGAAGTGTTTTATAATAAACGAGTCTCAGTGTCTGCTGCTGCTGCTGCTGCTGCTGCTGATGATGTGCCTCGTTTCGCACATCCATTGTCTCTGAGCTTGTTTATGTCACTGATTGTTTATGTCACTGATTGTTTATGACATTGATTGTTTTGATAACATGTTCATGACCTATCTTAAAAACTACCGTCAACAACACGTTTAAAAAATAACTAAACAAACTACTTGTTTTAAAGAGAAGACTTGTTTTACCAAACTGTATCGTGTGAATAAAAAAAAAATCCATTGAGAAAGTAATTTCCGAAAATTATTCCAAATCATATTTAATGAAATGTAAAGAGATTCTCAAGGATTACGTAGGATACACACACTGAGAGGCGTATTTCTCCAGCGTATTTCTCTCAGCTGTGAGCTAACTTTAATCCCTATTTTAGGAATTAAAGTATTCTTGCGTGGTGGTGGAAAGGTTAAGTCCAGCCTTTTGATGATCCTAGTGTAGTATATAGGCTTTAAACTACACTAACCGCGCGGGTATTACCAGAATGAGCGTAGTCAGTCAATTCTAAGGTATTACCAAACTGAAGGTAAAGTCTGCTTAAAGGTCAAAAGGTCACATTATATTTATAATCTACTCAAAGGAGCGTTTAGGTCCCCTAATTAAATTTTCAGAGCGCTATACATTAACTGCGTTTTGAAGGTCAGAGAGAATTGTATATGTATGACGCCTGGCTGGTTCTTAGTGACTCGTCTGACTCAAGATTACTGGACGGAGGATCGAGCCTCCTCCACACCTTGAGATGAATGACCCACATGGGTTTAGTGCTTCACACAGTGACGTGGTTCTAACCATGATATAGACGCTTCAAAAGGAAATAAAGTTACTGGAGTAGTCGTAATAAAAATGGCCATGATCATGGATGAAGGGCTTTTGATCCAGAGAACTGGAGCTACATTCCCTTCCTCGGATCAAATTTGATTATTTCGCTACCATTCCTCACATTTCTGCATGACTGCTACGGGTTTAGCGCTTCCGATAATAATAATAATAATAATAATAATAATAATAATAATAATAATAATAATAATAATAACATTTATTTTTATTATCACACCGGCCGATTCCCACCAAGGCAGGGTGGCCCGAAAAAGAAAAACTTTCACCATCATTCACTCCATCACTGTCTTGCCAGAAGGGTGCTTTACACTACAGTTTTTAAACTGCAACATTAACACCCCTCCTTCAGAGTGCAGGCACTGTACTTCCCATCTCCAGGACTCAAGTCCGGCCCCGCCGGTTTCCCTGAATCCCTTCATAAATGTAAATTTGCTCACACTCCAACAGCACGTCAAGTATTAAAAACCATTTGTTTTCCCCTTCACTCCTATCAAACAACGCTCACGCATGCCTGCTGGAAGTCCAAGCCCCCCGCACACAAAAACCTCCTTTACCCCCTCCCTCCAACCCTTCCTAGGCCGACCCCTAACCCCGCCTTTCCCTTTCCCCTACAGACTGATACACTCTTGAAGTCATTCTGTTTCGCTCCATTCTCTCTACATGTCCGAACCACCTCAACAACCCTTCCTCAGCCCTCTGGACAACATTTTGGTAATCCCCACCTCCTCCTAACTTCCAAACTACGAATTCCCTGCATTTTATTCACACCACACATTGCCCTCAGACATGACATCTCCACTGCCTCCAGCCTTCTCCCTCGCTGCAACATTCATCACCCACGCTTCACACCCATATAAGAGCGTTGGTAAAACTATACTCTCATACATTCCCCTCTTTGCCTCCAAGGACAAAGTTCTTTGTCTCCCACAGACTCCTAAGTGCACCACTCACTCTTTTTCCCTCACAATTCTATGATTCACCTCATCTTTCATAGACCCATCCGCGACACGTCCACTCCCAAATATCTGAATACGTTCACCTCCTCCATACTCTCTCCCTCCAATCTGATATTCAATCTTTCATCACCTAATCTTTTTGTTATCCTCATAACCTTACTCTTTCCTGTATTCACCTTTAATTTTCTTCTTTTGCCACCCTAAAACCCAAAATTTATCCACCAATCTCTGCAACTTCTCTTCAGAATCTCCCAAGAGCACAGTGTCATCAGCAAAGAGCAGCTGTGACAACTCCCACTTTGTGTGTGATTCTTTATCTTTTAACTCCACGCCTCTTGCCAAGACCCTCGCATTTACTTCTCTTACAACCCCATCTATAAATATATAAAACACCCCGGTGACATCCACACATCCTTGTCTTTAAAGGGCCCACTTTTACTGGAAAAAATTTCCCTCCCTTTCCCACATACTCTAACTTGAGCCTCCCCTATCCTCGTAAAAACTCTTCACTGCTTTCAGTAACCTACCTCCTACACCATACACTTGCAACATCTGCCACATTGCCCCCCTATCCACCCTGTTAAAACCCCTTTTTCCCAAAACCATAAATGCCACAAAGACCTCTTTAGCCTTATCTAAATACTGTTCACTTATATGTTTCACTGTAAACACCTGGCCACACCCCCCTACCTTTCCTAAAGCCTCCTTGTTCATCGCTATTTCCAATTCTCCGTCTTACTCTTAATTCTTTCAATTATAACTCTACCATACACTTTACCAGGTACACTCAACCCGACTTATCCCCCTATAATTTTTGCACTCTCTTTTATCCCCTTTGCCTTTATACAAAGGAACTATGCATGCTCTCTGCCAATCCCTAGGTACCTTACCCTCTTCCATACATTTATTAAATAATTGCAAACCCAAACCACTCCAAAACTATATTCCCACCTGCTTTTAACATTTCTATCTTTATCCATCAATCCCGGCTGCCTTACCCCCTTTCATTTTAACTACTGCCTCACGAACTTCCCCCACACTCACACTGGCTCTTCCCACTCCTACAAGATGTTATTCCTCCTTGCCCTATACACGAAATCACAGCTTCCCTATCTTCATCAACATTTAACAATTCCTCAAAATATTCCTTCCATCTTCCCAATACCTCTAACTCTCCATTTAATAACTCTCCTCTCCTATTTTTAACTGACAAATCCATTTGTTCTCTAGGCTTTCTTAACTTGTTAATCTCACTCCAATAGTAATAATAATAATGTCTGGCGCACATCTTGTGGTTTAAGACGCACGAACAAACACTCAAGACATTAATACAGTAAACTCTATAACAATCTCAGGAGATAAAACTTCTGAAGCGTAAACGGGAAAGGTTTTGGTTGTAGTGTCAACGTCACGGGTCCGACGGTGTTGAGCTGCAGGGAAATACTGACGTGATTTGTTAGTTAGGTACCATTTTGTCCTCGGCACATGTTGATTAGACACTAGACCTGTTGTGTATGTGTGTGTGCATGTGTGACATAACTACCGTGTAGAACACTGTACTATAACTACCGTGTAGAACACCGTAGTCCTTCTTCATCTATGACACCTATTTATAGAGACACAGTGATAAATAAAGCGACTTTTTTCTTGCAATAGCAGATGGTGAATTGTGCTTCCACAACCTCTTACGCTGAATGACCTGCATGGTTTTAGTGTCTCACATATAATTAAAACTCACGTTATTATTACAAGAGTATATTTATCACATAAAATAAGAAAATGCTAAAGGAGAAAGTATAGGATGAAATACAAGAAAGAGATAAAGGGAGAGACAGACGGCTAAAGAGGGGGAAAGAAACAGTCCCAATACTACACATAAATTAGTACCTCTGGTCCTCCTGATGAGAGGTAGGAAGGTCTTGGTGGCAAAGACGGTACCTAGCAAGTTCACCTCCAGTACCTTCCTGTAGGTGGCCTCAGGCACCCACTCCACCTCGCCGAAGGTGGAGACGCCAGCATTGTTGACCAGCCCCCACAACACCTCTGTTGGGGCAGAACGTTGGGTCAATACCTCTACTACCCAGCCACCACAGTCACAACCCAGCAATATTGAGTGATAGCCAGCTGCGGGAATTTCATAACTAACTCGGTGAGCATTATAACAAATATCTCGAATGTAACTCCTCAGTTATTTATTTTACATGATGCGATAAACCTGTGTGGGTCCTTCAGCACAAGTAACAGTAGTGGCTCGATCCTCCACCCGCCAATGACTGGATAGACACACTATCTTTTTTTTTTTTTTTTTTTTTTTTTGGTAACTCCTATAGTTTCTTTGCTTCCCTGAACACATTTTCCTCAGTCTGATAAGTAAAGATAATTACTTATATAACAAAAAAAAATCGGATATGGTTGTTTCCTCGGCTGTGGTTGTTTTCACGGCTGTGACTGGAAGATGATGACAGACTCCTGCAACAATCATAACACAGCTAATTTCAATACAGCTGCGGCTGTCGACAGATCTAAGAATTTTGGCTGTGTTTTCGGGGGCGAATATAATCAGGGGCAAATATAATCATGGGTAATGTAATTTTAGGTTAAAAATCAGATTGGTTAGATGAAGTTATGATAATTAGGAAAGGTAGCTTTATTTCCTCCTTATGGTAGCAATAAGATATGTAGCAACTTCCACCACCACCGAGGCACTATGACATGTTAATAACTCATGACCTCGCCAACGAGATAATTTGACCTCATTACAATATAAACGAGTCTCTCACAATAACTATCTAATTTAGATCTTTAATTACGATATCAATTACCATTATATCTTTCCTCCTTACTTTTTACTCTTACATTTGCTATGTATGGCTTCAGTAACTTAAATAATGTTTAGAATTCCTCATCAATAAAACCCACTTATTTAGTTTATTTTACTAAAATAGTCATATCACTGAGATAACCTTATTTTAGAGAATACTCATAAAAGATAATCTGTGCTTCCTGTACCACCTACGAAGAGAATTTTCTTAACTGGCTCCTTGACTGTGATTGTGTGGTTGGCACGAGTTCCTTCAGCGTGTAATTCCCTCGTTAGTTGCAGGCGCGACAGTAATACAATGCGAGTTTAACTACCTTGAGAAATGTCTTCAAGTTTTTTCGTCAATAAACTTCAAAACACATTCTTTTAATGTTAGGCAAAAATCGTGTGGATAAAAGACCATCTTACTGGTGAGTCTTCCTGTGTTCAGAGAGCTGATTCTCACTGTAGAACATTATTTAAAAGAACAATATTCTTGGTTAATAACTTTGTATTGTATTATACAACGTTGTGCAGTGATGTGATACATGCATAAATCTTATAATTAGCAAAATGATTAGCAGGAAATTTTGCAATATGTGATACACTGTATTGTGTGTCTTCTACTTGCTGTAACAAGTGATACTCTACATTGTGTCTCTTCTAATTGCTACATTACGAATGATTTTATTTAAGGTTATCCGGGAGGCTGTTTATATTACACTGCTTCAGGTTAACGTGGCCATGCTGACCGATCATAAGCAAAGGTACTCGAGAATGCAAAGGTTCCATTATATACCTTGAACTTCTAAACGCACCTTAACACAGGTATTTGACATATCTGAAGAATATGAAACTGAGATGAGTTTATCTCTTGTTGAGAAATGGCATTACCAGTTAAGTTTAAATATAGGAAAACAACTTAGAAAGACAGCTCATCGCCTGCACAGCCGCCCCTGCAGACGAGGTCTTGAGAAGCTGTCGAAGTCATCTCTCAACGGGCTGTAAAGAGTTATAATTTGTAAGATTATAAATTACCCCTAGGGGGTGTTATGTCAGCATATTTCATTCACTGATGGCTGACAAACTTACTTGTGTGGACTCAAAGGTCCGCATATCACCGGGGTTTATGATAAGTGACTAACTCACGACTTTATACTCAACTGCACAGTCAATAGTATTACATCACGAGTTAGAACACTTACCTGGGTATATGTATCTGACCCGTAATTAAGCCCGGATATCCGTTGAGTTGATTGAAGAATAGTGTTCTTTGAAGAATGTCGCACTACACTCTGTTGGATCGCAACACTCGTTGTTACACTGTTCATCAATAATTGTTCACACAATATCACTGAAGAAGCTGATCACACTTCTCTGTAAGTGTTTATTGTGTTTTGTGAGACACTTTGTTCACACTAACGCACAGATCGTTCTTTGTTGGTTATCCTGGCGTCAGTGTCACTCTCAGTAGAGTCAAAAGTAATCTGAAGACGCCACAGCACCCCACACCGTCACTGCCCCTTGCACAAAGGAAAAGCTGACATAGTACTTTTGCTTCCTCGCCACTTCCTCCATGAGGCAAAACAGAATGTTTGATTCTTGCTGTCTTAAGCATAGACAACAATATACACTATCTTCACCATGATAATAAAGTGGGAGCATGATTTTCCTTGATTGTCCTGCTAAGGTAAGAGATGTACTGTCTCTTATTAAAATACACTCTGCAACACTGGACTGCAAGGAGCGGCAAGCCACGTCACATATTGGTACTGCATCTGGGGTCAATTACTTGTTGTAGCAGTAAACAAGATATTTGCCCCTTCTGAGAGGGCTGAGCCCCTCAGGGCTGAAAGGGGCTGAAGGGGGCTGATACCCCCCTCCTGGAGAAATTTCTCCACATCTCTCTAACACCCTTCTCCTTAGTCTCCATCTGACTCTTACTGTAGCTGTCACTCCTCTACAAACATCTGACTCTTACTGTAGCTGCCACTCCTCTACAAACATCTGACTCTTACTGTAGCTGCCACTCCTCTACAAACATCTGACTCTTACTGTAGCTGCCACTCCTCTACAAATATGCACATCCAGTAGTCTACCATGAGCCTGATATTTTAGTCGGCTTTCACGACACGTGTCACAAATGAAGGAAGGATTCTAACCCACTACACATGGAATTAAAAGAAAATGAAAAAAAGAAGGGGCAAAAACTACTATTAAGAAATTTTAGCAGGACACACAGTTCAGTATTTATACGTACATAGATGCATCCAGAGCATTTCTTAGGAGACCGATTCTATTTTGAGACCACATACAAGAAACACCATACACAATAGACTCTAATTCATACATAAATACAGTATAATAATTTGGAAAGCTCATAGTATGCTATGAATCTAACAGTGTTCAGAGACGAGGTACAAAATACCTTGACTATCCTACATCTAGACTATAATACACAATAGTTGTGCTCTTAAGTACTCCCCTGTACTCTCATGTACTCACATGTATTAAGAAACTTGCTATTATTTAGAGAAGAGGCACATAAAATGCAGCTACTTGTCCCTTACCTCCTTCAGGGATGAGATTCTTGACCTGTGAAAGCGTCGTCTTGAGTTGGTCCTGAGACGTGACGTCCAGCTGCAGCAGGTGAAGACGGGGAGACTTTAGGTCACGCAGGCGCTGCACACCCTCCCCTTCCTCCCGCAGGCAGCATGCCACCACCCGGAAACCCTGAAGCACCACCAGGGGCGTGAGAGGAACTCCTGGAGTACCACCAGGAAGATGAGAGGAACCCCTGGTGCACCACCAGGGGGTGAGAGGAACCAGCCAAGTCAGGGATAGGCGTGGTAAGGAATAGATTGATGGGTGTTCTGAGCCTTGAATCCCCAAGAGAGTGAGAGGAGGCTGGATCGTGTCAGGAACAGTAATGGTAATAGTACTACTGCTACTACTTTTGCTATTACTATTACTACTATTGATATTAGTACTACTACTGCTACTGTACTATTGTTATTACTATTACTACTACTGCTATTACTACTATTGCTACTACTACTGTTACTAATACTCTTATTACTATTACTACTACTACTACTAATAATAATAATAATAATTTATCTGAATGAAACAGTTGAAAATTACTTCTATAAACTACATGAATTATTTGTAATAATGTTGGTAGAATTACCGACAATATGTAAAGTAAAAGAACACAAGTGCAACTAATGTGAATTTTATTGTGGCAACGTTTCGCTCTCCAGGAGCTTTATCAAGCCGATACAAACAATATATGGACACAGAGAGTATATAAAGGCTCAGAGTGAGGTGCAATACTAGTGAGGTACCATTTCGATGTTCACTAGTGGTAGTAGTAGTAGTAGTAGTATAGTAGTAGTAGTAGTAGTAGTAGTAGTAGTAGTGACAAAAGTTGTAGTAGTAATACAATATGGTAGAACAATTAATTCGTACATGAGTAAAAGGATATAAAAACTATTACTTGGGTCACATAAAAATAGGTTGGACAAATATAGACTGGTTAGAGAAGGCCTCTTTCAGTGTTCACTCTCTGTAATGTGCTTTGTGTAGTATAACAGGAGAGACTATGTGATGGCAGGGTTTACTGTTTTCAGGAGGATTCTCGCTAAGACTTCAGAGATGGTGAAGCTGCCGTTATTTTGTTTAATTGTATTCGAAACAGCGATCAGTGCTGATTCGAGGCACTTGCGTCTGCGGAAATTAGTTTCTTTGATCACTAATTGGGCGTCCCTGAATTTCGTGAGATGATTGGTGGAATTTCGGTGTTGTACACAGGCGTTGTTCAAGTTATCGTTCCTACATGCGTAAATGTGTTCATTGAGACGGGTGTCGAGGTTTCTTGCTGTTTCACCTACATAAATCTTGTCACAGCCTCCACAGGGTATAGTGTAAACCCCTGCAATGACTGGTTCGTGGTGCTTTGATTTTGTCCTGGTTAGATCCTTTATAGAAGTGCTAGAAGCGATGGTGACTCTGGTGTTAGCTTGTGAAAGTACTTTAGAAACGTTCAGCACCCCTTCTCTCCAGCTACCCAAGCTTACTTAACTGAATGTGCCGAAGAACTTTCTAACTTCGCTAAGGAAACCTTTGAAACGACCCCAACATTATCATCACCACCGCCGACAAAGGAGGTGGAGTCGTCACACTCAACACCAGTGACTACAACACTAAAATGATGGACCTTTTGAGTGATCAGTCTACATACGAACCCATCAGCACTCAACAGTGGGAGACACTCACCAAAAATTTTCTATACAAAACCAGACAAATACTCAAACGCACTAGAGAGGGGAAGAAACTTCTGTACTTGTTACCAAGCAACCCTAAACCAGCACACATGTATAGTTTACCCAAGACCCATAAACACAACATTCCTCTCAGACCAATCAGGTCAGGTATAGGCAGTGCTCCACACAAACTAGCCGGAGTTCTTGCCAAACATCTTTCCTGCCTTCTGGGGACCATCAGCCCCGCTCATCTTAAACACTCAGGCGACCTTCTCAACCGCATCCTCAACCTCTCCATCCGTAACAAGAAACTAAGCAGTTTGGACGTGACTTCCCTCTTCACAAAAGTACCTACCACAAAAGCCATCGAGGTTCTACGACGTAAAGTAAATCAGGACCTTAATCTTCCTCTACCTCCCGGAGATTTTGTTGACTTGATTGAACTCAGTGTTAATTTCAATTGTTTTTCTTTCAATAACAAACTCTACAAACAAACCTACGGCATGGGAATGGGGTCCCCCATCAGTGCCGTCCTAGCCAACTTATACATGGAACACCTAGAGTCCGAACACTTCGCAAACATCATCCCTTCAAGCGTCACTTGGTTACGTTACGTGGACGACGTCCTCGTAATAACTCCCAAACGTTTTGATGTACAGAATCTTCAGGCAAGGCTCAACGCAGTTGAACCGTCGATCCAGTTTTCACTAGAAGAGTCCAATGACAAGCTACCTTTCCTCGACGTCCTCATTCACAAAGTAGACAACAACCTAAGATTTCAAGTTTATCGGAAACCTACCAATAAAAATGATCTCACACACTTCTATTCCAGTCAAGATACCAAGACCAAAAGAGGCATCATCATCGGGTTTTTCCTAAGAGCATACCGAATTTGTAGTCCTGAGTTTCTTGACGAGGAATGCACATACATTCACCAAACCTTCACTGAGTTACATTTTCCTTCCTTTTTCATCAAAGACTGCAAGAAAAGAGCTCTTCAGATCATTAATTCTCCACGCACCAACACCACGCCCAACAAAGTTATAATTCTTCCCAACAGCCAGGTTGCACTGAACGTTTCTAAAGTACTTTCACAAGCTAACACCAGAGTCGCCATCGCTTCTAGCACTTCTATAAAGGATCTAACCAGGACAAAATCAAAGCACCACGAACTAGTCAATGCAGGGGTTTACACTATACCCTGTGGAGGCTGTGGCAAGATTTATGTAGGAGAAACAGCAAGAAACCTCGACACCCGCCTCAATGAACACATTTACGCAAGTAGGAACGATAACTTGAACAACGCCTGTGTACAACACCGAAATTCCCCCAATCATCTCATGAAATTCAAGGACGCCCAATTAGTGATCAAAGAAACTAATTTCCGCAGACGCAAGTGCCTCGAATCAGCACTGATCGCTGTTTCGAATACAATTAAACAAAATAACGGCAGCTTCACCATCTCTGAAGTCTTAGCGAGAATCCTCCTGAAAACAGTAAACCCTGCCATCACATAGTCTCTCCTGTTATACTACACAAAGCACATTACAGAGAGTGAACACTGAAACAGGCCTTCTCTAACCAGTCTATATTTGTCCAACCTATTTTTATGTGACCCAAGTAATAGCTTTTATATCCTTTTACTCATGTACGAATTAATTGCTCTACCATATTGTATTACTACTACAACTTTTGTCACTACTACTACTACTACTACTACTACTACTACTACTACTACTACTACCACTAATGAACATCGAAATGGTACCTCACTAGTATTGCACCTCTGAGCCTTTATATACCCTCTGTGTCCATATATTGTTTGTAACGGCTTGACAAAGCTCCTGGAGAGCGAAACGTTGCCACAATAAAATGTCACATTAGTTGCACTTGTGTACTTTTACTTTACATATTGTCGGTAATTCTACCAACATTATTACAATCTGTCGGACACCGCAACATAATGGACATTTCATGCAGACGTTATTTGGACACCCTTATTCGTGCTCACAGCTATCGCAACTTCCTACAAGATTGCCTGGCAGAGAAGGTGATCCCTAAGTCTACTCCCGCACAACTCTCCAACTCCAAGCACCCCTTCTCTCCAGCTACCCAAGCTTACTTAACTGAATGTGCCGAAGAACTTTCTAACTTCGCTAAGGAAACCTTTGAAACTGCAAGGAATATGAGGGCTAATCTTCAGATTGACCAACACACTGCTGAGCATATTCTCAGCAGTCACCACAGCCAACCTCCAACAGAAGATGAAACTCAATCGCAAACTTCAGTACCTCTGCACTAACAGTCGATGGAAGGAAATGGGACGCGAATCCCTGATAAACAACTTATCTTCACGCACCTTAATGAGCGCGCGCGGAAATTTGCCCTACAGCCCCCTTGACTGACTACGAGAAACAAGCACTGAGTCTGGGACTCAAATTTACCACCAACATACGCAAACCTAACTATCAACTCAATCTAGTTACCAGGAACCATAGACACAGTGATAGCAACTTCCAGAAGGGTTATATACAGGGCCTTCTCACTGCAGCTTTATGAGAACCTTCTTCTTCTAGTCTTCCTAGAAGATACATCACTGCCCTTAAGGACCTCGCCAACGACCCCAACATTATCGTCACCACCGCCGACAAAGGAGGTGGAGTCGTCACACTCAACACCAGTGACTACAACACTAAAATGATGGACCTTTTGAGTGATCAGTCTACATACGAACCCATCAGCACTCAACAGTGGGAGACACTCACCAAAAATTTTCTATACAAAACCAGACAAATACTCAAACGCACTAGAGAGGGGAAGAAACTTCTGTACTTGTTACCAAGCAACCCTAAACCAGCACACATGTATAGTTTACCCAAGACCCATAAACACAACATTCCTCTCAGACCAATCACGTCAGGTATAGGCAGTGCTCCACACAAACTAGCCGGAGTTCTTGCCAAACATCTTTCCTGCCTTCTGGGGACCATCAGCCCCGCTCATCTTAAACACTCAGGCGACCTTCTCAACCGCATCCTCAACCTCTCCATCCGTAACAAGAAACTAAGCAGTTTGGACGTGACTTCCCTCTTCACAAAAGTACCTATCACAAAAGCCATCGAGGTTCTACGACGTAAAGTAAATCAGGACCTTAATCTTCCTCTACCTCCCGGAGATTTTGTTGACTTGATTGAACTCAGTGTTAATTTCAATTGTTTTTCTTTCAATAACAAACTCTACAAACAAACCTACGGCATGGGAATGGGGTCCCCCATCAGTGCCGTCCTAGCCAACTTATACATGGAACACCTAGAGTCCGAACACTTCGCAAACATCATCCCTTCAAGCGTCACTTGGTTACGTTACGTGGACGACGTCCTCGTAATAACTCCCAAACGTTTTGATGTACAGAATCTTCAGGCAAGGCTCAACGCAGTTGAACCGTCGATCCAGTTTACACTAGAAGAGTCCAATGACAAGCTACCTTTCCTCGACGTCCTCATTCACAAAGTAGACAACAACCTAAGATTTCAAGTTTATCGGAAACCTACCAATAAAAATGATCTCACACACTTCTATTCCAGTCAAGATACCAAGACCAAAAGAGGCATCATCATCGGGTTTTTCCTAAGAGCATACCGAATTTGTAGTCCTGAGTTTCTTGACGAGGAATGCACATACATTCACCAAACCTTCACTGAGTTACATTTTCCTTCCTTTTTCATCAAAGACTGCAAGAAAAGAGCTCTTCAGATCATTAATTCTCCACGCACCAACACCACGCCCAACAAAGTTATAATTCTTCCCAACAGCCAGGTTGCACTGAACGTTTCTAAAGTACTTTCACAAGCTAACACCAGAGTCGCCATCGCTTCTAGCACTTCTATAAAGGATCTAACCAGGACAAAATCAAAGCACCACGAACTAGTCAATGCAGGGGTTTACACTATACCCTGTGGAGGCTGTGACAAGATTTATGTAGGTGAAACAGCAAGAAACCTCGACACCCGCCTCAATGAACACATTTACGCATGTAGGAGCGATAACTTGAACAACGCCTGTGTACAACACCGAAATTCCACCAATCATTTCATGAAATTCAGGGACGCCCAAATAGTGATCAAAGAAACTAATTTCCACAGACGCAAGTGCCTCGAATCAGCACTGATCGCTGTTTCGAATACAATTAAACAAAATAACGGCAGCTTCACCATCTCTGAAGTCTTAGCGAGAATCCTCCTGAAAACAGTAAACCCTGCCATCACATAGTCTCTCCTGTTATACTACACAAAGCATATTACAGAGAGTGAACACTGAAACAGGCCTTCTCTAACCAGTCTATATTTGTCCAACCTATTTTTATGTGACCCAAGTAATAGCTTTTGTATCCTTTTACCCATGTACGAATTAATTGTTCTACCATATTGTATTACTACTACAACTTTTGTCACTACTACTACTACTACTACTACTACTACTACTACTACTACTACTACTACTACTACTACTACTACTACTACCACCACCACTAGTGAACATCGAAATGGTACCTCACTAGTATTGCACCTCACTCTGAGCCTTTATATACCCTCTGTGTCCATATATTGTTTATATCGGCTTGACAAAGCTCCTGGAGAGCGAAACGTTGCCACAATAAAATGTCACATTAGTTGCACTTGTGTCCTTTTACTTTACATGAATTATTTGTTACGGAACTTCCATATGTGTTACTGAACTAGTTGCTTGAGTACGGGAAGTAGTGACTGTGATCAGTTGGTCTAGTGTGGGTAAGTAGTGGCACTTACCAGGTTGTGAAGGTGGAGTGCCAGAGCGTTACCGAAGCCAGTGTCACATCCCGTCACAACTACCACCTTACCGTCACTTGACACCTGTAATGTAACACCAACATTGTATGGCTAATATCTAACAATGACAAATGGTAGTGCGGGCGTCCGATAGCAAGGAATCAAATACTACTACACATGATAAGCGCACAAGTGAGACAAGAGGAGGACATTGCTCACCTTGACAGCAGACAGGAGTAAAATGGTGGCAGCAGAGAGGAGCCAGAGGGTTGTGAAGAGGAGCCAGCAAGAGGTGGAGAAGAGTCCCAGGAGGTGTAGTGTAGAGGACAGGAGAGCACTGACACCTCCACATAGTAGCACGTCTCCTGCCTCGTCCAACCTCAACACCCCCATCATTCACGTTCCTCCTTCCTCACGTTACGTATAGTTTGCTGACAGGTTCACACTTCTGTCTCCTCACACACAACTGCAACACCTGTCTCTTGTTAGTCTTTATAAATTTATCTCCATTCGTATGTAAAAGAAATATTTCCTGAAATAGACGAAGAAGGGAACAGAGAGCGTGGGAGTTATGGTGCTTTATATATAGGGAATTCAAAACACAGCTACGTGTGCAACAGATTGCTTTTTTCCCTTTATGCAGCTTTTATCTTTTTCAGACTTGCAAAAAGGTTGGTTTTGAGGGCATTTACTTTTGAAAACTTCCCTGGCGATGAAAATTTAAAAAACAGTCGTTTATCCGTAAGAACTTTTTGGGTTTTCTTACGGTACTAAATATGGGCAAAAGGATGTTAAAGGGGGTTTTTTTTTTTTTTTTCCCCGGCGTGCCTAGGATTCGCCCCCGGGAGATTTTGGTCTTATTTTGGGGGCCATGTGTGTAGGGAAAACAGTGTGGGGGGAAAGGAATTTTCCCCTTTATGGGACTATGAGTGGGGAAAAGGGTAAAACCAGGGGGTTTCCCCCCCCAATAAACGCCCAGATTTGAGGAGGGAGTAAAACCAGGGTCTCAATGCCAAACCATGAGTGGGAAGGAGTTAAAACCATGGTCTCGGGTTTTTCCTTAAAGTAAAGGAAAAGGAGTAAACCATGGTCTCAGTGACCTACCATGAGTGGGGAAAGGGAAAAGGTAAACCATGGTCCCCAATGACAAACCAAAAATGGGGAAGGTTTGGGGAACCATGGTTAAATGCCCGGGCCATGAGTGAGGAAGGAGTAAAACCATGGTCTCAATGCCCAAACCCATGAGTGGGGAAAGGAGTAAACCCGGGGGTCTCGTGACCGCCCATGAGTGAGGAAGGAGGGGGAAACCCTTTTTTCTCAGTAAAACCCTCCCATGAGGGGGGAAAGGTGGTGAACCATGGTCCCCAGGCCCAAACCATGAGTGGGGGGAAGGGTTTTAAACCCATGGTTTTTCTTGGCCCGGACCTTTTGGTGAGGAAGGGGAAACCCATGGTCCCCGGAAACCGACCATGAGGGGAAAGGGGGAAAACCAGGGTTTCTCTTTGGCCGATCATGAGTGAGGAAGGTGTAAACCCCAGGGTTCTAAAGTGCCCGACCATAGGGGGGAAAGGTGTGAACCCTGGTCTCAGGGGCCCGACCATGAGGGAGGAAGGGGGGCCCCAGGTCCCCCTCTCAGTTTTTGACGTCTTTAAATCATGTCACTGGGGTCCTGCTTTTCTCTAATAAAATTAGTTTAACCCCTTTTTTAATTACCCCTCTCCTCAAAAACTAAAAATTTCTTGGGTCCGGGAAATTTGTTCGTTGAAAACCCTTTAAATTTTTTTAAAGTTTCTTGCCCACATTGATTAGAGGTGGGCTCCACACTGGTGTGCAAAATCCAAGTTTGGGCCCTGACATGAAATTTTTAAACATAGTGTCGTGAATGACTGTTTGTTGGGGTTCCTAAAAGCTAACCCTTACATTTGCTAACACCGTTTTTGCAAAACGTTATTCGGTGGGTCGGGATGGGGGAAAGTAGGGCATTAGGAAATTTTTTTAAATTTAAAAGTTCAAAAGGGAGAAAAAATTAAATTTTACGGGGGGGAATTGTCACTTTTTCAGACGGAAAAAACACCTTCGGGACAAACGTACTGGAAAATAAAGACCCCGGGAAAACAGGGTCTTCATCCCAGTGTATTAAAAGGAAACATAAAGTGCCAACACACCACACACACACACAAAACCACCACACCCCACACACACACAACACCCCACACACCACAAACACCAAAATACACTTTACACCCCCAAACACCCCACAACACACAAAAAAAATTCCCACCCCAAAAACCACCCCACACCCCACAAAACACAAAACACACATATACACTCCCCAATACACACACACACACACAAAACCACACCCACACAACCACACACACACACAACAAAAACACAACACACACAATACAAGGAAGAGTTGGGGGTTTTTTAATGCCCGGTAAGACGCGGGCTGAGACTTAAAAATAAAAGCCATGATTTCGGTAAAAAAGTTTGGGTTGGTGTTTGGGAAGCAGAGTCAGGAGAGGGGGGAAACGATGGAGGCTAAAACCCTCCAAGCTTGTCACGGGTTCCCTTTAAAAAGGGAAATCTCCGGTGATCGCTGTATTGATTTTTTAAACCCCTATTCAACTCGCCTGTGGTCCTAAAAAACATGTTTTATTGGTTACTGGGGCTGAAGACCCCGCTAAAGTCACATGACATATAAACTGTGAATAAAAATTATTATTATTATCCCTTTTTGTGTGTGTGTGTGTGTGTGTGGGGTTTTGTGTGTGCTATTTTTCAAGCCCCCTGTGCCGGAAAACAACCGGCCCCTTTCCGGGTGGATGAAGGAGGATTGCAAGTGGAGGGGAAAGTAAAGAAAGTGGCCGAGTGGGTGGGGGGGGGGGGGGAAACCGGGCCATTAGTTGCCCGGGGGAAGCCACTTGATGCTTCCTAAAAGTGGGAGAAAAATTTTGTGCATTTGTTTTTGGGTGGAAGCCTTTCAGGGTGGGCATAAAGAAAAGTCGGGTTTCCCGTGGTCCGGTTTATTTTTCCCGTTAAGGGAAAGTTTCAAGCAGTCTTTGGTAGTGGTCCAGGTTATGTTCCCGTTCAGGTAGCTTCAAGACAGTCAGGGTCGTGGTCCAGGTTATGTTACCTTTTCATGGTAGCATAAAGGACAGTCAGGGTACGGGTCCAGGTTATTTTTCCCCCCCCCCCCCCCCCCCCCTTCATGGAAAACACCCAAGACGGTCAAGGTAAGGGGTCCAGGTTATGTTCCCCCCCGGGGGAAACACCCAAGGGCAGTCTTTGGTACGTGGGTCCGGGGTTATGTTCCCGTTCATGGTAACATAAAGGCGGTATGGTAAGTGGCCCAGGTTTTTTTTTACTGTTAAATGGTAGCATAAAAGACGGTCGGGGTACGGGGTCCTTTTTAATGTTACCCGTTCTTTGGTAGCATAAAGAAAAAGTTTTTGGTTTAAGTGGGCCCGGTTATGTTCCCTTTCAGGGTTTAACATAAGGGAGGGTTTAAAGGTAAGGGGGTCCAGGTTATTTTAAACCGCCTTGGTAACACCCAAGCAGTCAGGGTTTAGTGGCCCAAAGGTTATGTTCCCGCCCAGGGTTTAACATCAAGAGGGTTCAGGGAAAAAGTGGGCCCAGGTTCATTATGTTCCCATAGGGTTTTAGATCGGGAAATGAATAGCACTGGGGTTTTTTTATCTCCAGCCACTGGCGCATCAAAAGGGCCCTGCAAAATCACCCCTTTTGCCACCGCCCAAGGTAATCCCCGGGGTTTAAAAAAAAAAACTTGCTCCTCCAACAAGTTGTTTTTTTGAAGTGGTGATGCCTGATTCAACAATTTCCCTTTTTGGGATGTATGTTTATTGCCCACGACACATGTTTTCTTTAAATTTTTTTTAATTAAAAGGTTGACTTTTTTACCAAACCCCCCACTACCCCCCCCCCCCCCACACAAGTTATATGGGGGGTAGGGGGGAGGGGGGAAAAGATAAAAGACATAAAAATTTTTGGGGGAATTGACAAGGTGGACAAAGACCGGATGTTTCCCGAGATGGACACAGCAACAAGGGGACACAGTTGGAAGTTGAAGCACGATGAATCACGGGTGTTTGGGGAAGTATTTCTTAGCCAGGGGTATCAGGAAGTAGAACGTTTGGGGGAAAACGATTTTATGGGGGGCAGGAGCCCTAATTGCTTTAAGCAGAGGTATGATTTAAAACTTACGGTTTTTAGGGAGGGGACTTGTAGGGGACCAGTGAAGGGCGGGGCCAGGAAACTTGGCTCGACCCTGCAACCCCCAAAAGGTGAGTACAGCTTTATGGTAAAAACCCCACAAAAACACCCACACACACACACCCCCACACACAAAACACACACACACACACACACACACAGATAGGTAGGTGACCAAAACTGGCAAACCCCATCAAGGAGAAAGATCGGGGTGAGTATAACCCGGGGCACGTCCCGGAAGCCACTTAACCGATAACTGTGCGCATTGAACCCCCGGGAAACGGAAAAAAAGCGTTTTTCGTACTTAAATAAGGGGAAATTTTTCAAAGGGCACAGTACACCTTTTAGTCAGGCCCTTTTGGAGTATGCAGCCCAGTTTTGGGAAACCCCCACCCGGTCAAACACGTCAAGAAACTAAAAGAATGTGCAAAAAGGGTTTTCAAAAAAAGGGTTTGTTCCGGGCCCCGGAGAATGTTTACGAAGAAAGGTTAGGGAAACGGCATGCGCGCTTTTGGGGGTCAGGTGGTCAGGGGAGGGAAAAAGGGGTTACGCATACAAAATACTTTTGAATGATAAGGGGGCCCCGCAAAGGATGTTCCAGAGTTGGGACACAGAAACAAGGGGTCGCAACTGGAAGCTGAAGACTCAGACGAGTCAAAGGGATGTTAGGAAGTACTCCTTCAGTCACATAATTGTCAGGAAGTGGAATAGTCTAGCAAGTGATGTAGTGGAGGCAGGAACCATACATAGATTTAAGACGAGGTATGACAAAGCTCAGGAAGCAGAGAGAGGACCTAGCAGTGATCAGTGAAGAGGCGGGGCCAGGAGCTGAGAATCGACCCCTGCAACCATAGTTAGGTGGGTACAATTAGGTGAGTACAGAAGAGGTATGATTAAGCTCATGGAGCAGGAAGAGTGACCTAGTAGTGTGTGTGTGTGTGTGTGTTTTGTGTGTGTGTGTGTGTGTGTGTGTGTGTGTGTGTGTGTTGTGTGTGTGTGTGTGTGTGTGGTGTGTGTATGTGTGTGTGTGTGTGTACTCACCTATTTGTACTCACCTATTTGTGGTTGCAGGGGTCGATTCATAGCTCCTGGCCCCGCCTCTTCACTGATTGCCTCCCTGTAAGGTATTCTCTTATCCATTGCAGTGCCTTTCCTATTATGTGTGCCTGATCCTCTAGCTTTTGCAGTAACCTCTTGTGAGGAACTGTGTCGAAGGCCTTCTTGCAGTCC